GCATGCCGTGGAGACAGGAATGTGACCAGCTTAATTAGGGCTATCTGGATGTGTTCCGTCAGCAGCAACGTGACGGAATAATAGAGGAGATTTTCCTTCCTCCTCAGCGGTTTAAAGAGCCTATCTGAATTCCACACGAGCCTACCCTGAAGCCAGAACCTACCTGCACGATTAAAATTCGACCGTTATTCAAATGCAGCCTCAAAACTAGTGACTCCGCTCACCTTAATGAAACTGCCTAGCAGAGACTGAACTTAACAAGTTAGGTTTAATGTTGGCAGATATCAGGAAGGTCTTTCTAACGGTACGTCTTAAACTGGAAGACGATGCGTTTCTTCCGGAAGAACAGAGGTCGCCTGCATTGTTTCAGGTACGCTACAATCCTTTTTGGTTTCACCTCTAATCCTCTCATATTAAATTGTATTCTCCGGTATCAGGCGACTCAGTTACCCCCGAATCCTTGCGGACACACAATGGAGAATCGGTTTTAGGTAGACAATCTGGTAATGACCGCAAATCATCCAGATGAACTGTGCAATTTGAATAAAACCTCTCCAGGAAACTGTTGCGACGGGGTGAAGGGGTGTTTCGAGCTGCAGTCTTGCAACTCTATGTATCCGGAACAGAATGAAGGAGAATGGTATCCTGAACAATCATGGAACTGATTGGGAGAAGGTGCTGGGATATCGGTACAGTCCCCTGTCTGGCAAACAACGTGTCACTCCCTAATGCTTCTACAAAGAGACAAATTCTTGCGGAAACAGAAAGGATAAGGCTGGCTTTGTATGTGATGCATCGTTGGAAGCATATGGGTTCGCTAACGGTGCAGAGTCGAATTATAACTTGCCTGTAAATCATTTTTGCGAGGTCGAATCTTATTAAGTAAACTTCCCATGTCCACTTTTGTAAATAGGCTTAAGATGGGGTTGTCTTGTAGCAGGTTCCAGTCCTTGTTTGGCCTCACCTCCTCGTTTCCATCCCAGTGTTAGGACGTTGGAAAAAATTCAGGGCCTTTCATCTAACATCTGGATTGGGGACCTCCTCCTAGTCTCAATCAACGCCCAAGGAAAGGTCTTCCCATCAGTGAGGAAAGTCGTTAATAATGGCAGTGAAGGAACCGTTCCATTTATGTCGTATAATGAAGAATTAGACGTTGGAAGGACCTTAACATATGGGTTCGGGCTAACGGTCCGCAGTGTCGGAGGTTAAACCTTGTTGGCTAAATCCTGTCTGATTTATGACAATGAACTGCTAAGGTGACATTCTTGGGTTCTTAATGAAACTACTTCTTCCCTAACTTTGCAATTTTTGGCAGTGTATAGAGTTGCCTCTGAAATGAGGAGCAAATAAATCTTCACGTATCAAGGCCTGAAATGTTTCCGAGGCAATCTTGAAGAGTGTTGGTGGATTCCCACCAACTATAAAACTTAGAACAAAAACAACATATATAAGATTCGCCAGTGGCGCGTAGACATGTGGCTACAGATTCCCAGATAGTCCTCTTTTGTAATATATATCTTGGTTCATTGCTAATAAGAACCTCTTTGCGAGAAACAGACTAAAATCTTCAACTGGATGTCTTGTACCTTGAATAGAGACTGCTGAGTTGTTTCGCTAACATGTATGGTACCACGGCTGCCATCTACAGTGACAATGCAAAGAAATTCCTAGTCCTGGTTTGGCCTCACCTCCTCGCTCTGGCATGTGCTGACCACAATGAACCCTACGGACTTGATCGGCAACCGCCCCCCAACACCTATAGGGAATTTCCGAAGAGAGTTGGTGGCGGAAACAAAAATGGGTAGGACGTTGAATCTGAATGATGGGGATTTTCCCCCTCCAAAACTTTAGAATTATAGGGACTGCATTCGGTTCAGGAAAAAGCGATTTATCGATCAGACAAGGTACTACGGTTAGGCTGGTAAATGTAAAATTAATACTTCAAAAACCAAATTTAATTGCAACGACATGGAACACTAACCATGGTTAAATATAGTTATAAAATATTTAAATTTTCCTCATTTTAAATTACAAAGAACGAACATTATCTATGAGTTCAAATGTCCCTTAAGCAAATGTGTTTCTGATCAAACCGGACTCATAAATAATTACATCAGTTTACACAACCACATGCTTATCCAGACGTCTTACGTTACCCTATCTGATCACAGCTCCATTAGAACCCATTTAAACACACTCACAAATGTACCTACATAGGAACATACGTCTGGTTTAAAAATAATGCAACAACAATATTAACTATGAACAATGCCACAATGAATATTCGGAAATTAAAACATCCCTAAATAATATGTTTTTGAATCATCCTTGAGTTCCTAAATTAAAACATTTGTTTTTAAACAATCTTTGTCAAAATAGAACAAAGAAAAATTAAATAAAAGAACCGTAGTACCTTGTCTGTTGTTTTTAATGAAACATGCATAAAATTTCTGCTAAATATACAACTATATATATATATATATATATATATATATATATATATATATATATATACACAATTTATTTAAGTAAATGCTCTGTTTTAATTAGAAATTAATTGCATTTACCGCCCCGAATTAATTAAAAAATTTTTGATATTTTCAAAATCATTAACAGAAAACTTATTAAATAATTGTCGTTAGTGATTGTTTACGTTAACTTTAATTTTGATTTATAAACAGTTTCGGAGTGTTCCCTAATTGGGTTAAAGGACAGAGAATTTTAATTAAATAAGTGTATTCATTAAAAAAAAAACGTAAGTTTACATCCTACATCAGGAAAACCTGTGTTCTACAACTGGTAAATGTAATTAATACTGTTTCATTAACGCTAGAACAAACATGGCTATATAGTACCCAGTTTTTCCTATTTTTAATTACAGTTTTCAGTACCTGACTCAAAGACGTGCTGTGCAATTCAGCTACATAGAAACGTCTGGTTAGCCAAGTCCGAATTGCTAAATAATATGTTTTTCAGTTCCTATTAAAAAGTACAAAGTTTGATTTGTCGATTTATGTTTAATCCATTTTTCAAAATATAATTTAAATTTAATTGATGGTTAGTGTTCTAAATACAGAGAATTTACTATATATATAAAAAACCAAAATATATAAAATATTTGTATATATATATATATTAAATAAATAAATATATATATATATATATATATATATATATATATATATATATATATATATATATAGATAGATAGATAGATATATATATATATATATATATATATATATATATCAGTGTAGGAATTAAAGATTATAATTAATTTGATTTTAACAAAATAAGCTATGAATATTTATATTTACACATCAAGTTTTCAGAGTCTAGAAGAAGATACGGAAGCCACTGATTACACATTTGCGTTCACTGAGGTATTAGGAAATTGAATTCTCTCAGTTAATACATCGTAATTTCGCTCGTAACAAATTCAGTTCGCTTTCCGCTTCTTCGACTCACCCTCTGCCAACAAGTGATTTTCGCCATAAATTACACTTTAAAATTCCTTCAATGCCGCAGCACGAAAGTCTTAATTATTTCAACAAGATTTTTTTTCTCTCTCTCTCTCTCTTTTTACTTATTTTTATTTATTTTGAATTTGTGACAAGCCGTAATTATCTGTAAATAGGGACCCCAAAAACGATTCATTTTGCCTGCTATGTCTGTTTTATCGCAATTGATGGTTCTTTACCGAATTTCCTCCGTTTCGCATGCTGTCAAGAACCTATTAAATGTTTTAAAGAAATAATTATGCATGTCTGTTAAAAAGAGTTGTACGTGTATATATAAGCCATATTTTGCGTTCGAAATACACGGCTTCGTGGTATTTTATTGTATGCAAATGACCGGTCGGCAAAACGGTATATATTAAATTACACGAACCATCCTTCTGCCGACAGAAAGAGAAATTTACTCCTTTTCTTTCCTTACTGGGAGGATTGTGAGTTGATGTTTTCATTTTTATACTCACTGGAACTATTTATTTTTGCCATTTCCCCCTTTCATATTTTTTCTCTGCTTTTTAATATTAAATTCTATTTTAATCGTATTTCCTCCTTTCCTTAAAGTTTCTCTATTATTCCGTGATTCTTTGGCGTGTATGTGAGGTGTATATAAACCATAGAGAAAACTCAATGATAAACCACTATATATATATATATATATATATATATATATACATCTTCCAATTAAGCACCAAAAACGTAAAAACAAACGTAGGAAAAAATATTCATCAAAATCTTCCCCGAATCAAGCATTCTCAACAAAATATTCAACAAAACACAGTAAAAAGCAGCTACAATTGCACTGAGTACATTTCACAAATAATAAAAAAAAACACACTAGGAGAACTATCAACAAAACGCCCAAACAAATTAAACCCACGTGTAACTGCAGAATAAAGAACGAATGTCACTTAAACGGTAATTGCCTACAAAACAATGTAATATACCAAGCCACAGTAAAATAATCAGATAACGAAGAAAAAATATACATAGGAGTAACTAAAACTACCTTGGAAACAAAGAAACTATACACACAAAACATATTTCACAAATAGTAAATACGCGAACACCACAATGCTTTCACAGTATATCTGAGAAATTAAAAACAAAAAGCAAATCACACAAAAAATATCATGGAAAATAAGGAAAAGAACATCAGCTTACAATAATCAATTCAAAACTGCAAATTCTGGCTGGAGGGAAAATTAGCTATAATTACTTCCCAGTCCCTTCGCTAAAAGGGTCAAAGAAGACCGTGGGACGCGGGTCGGACGCCCTATGCGCAAAAAAGGACAAAAGAGACGGCAGGCTGCGGGTCGGACGTTCCTGCGCTAAAGGATAAAAAACCGTGGTACGGGAATTGGGCGTGCCTGCGCGAAGGGATAAAAAAGCCCGCGGAACGGGTGTCGGACGTCCCTGCGCTAAAGGATAAAAAACCGTGGTACGGGAGTTGGGCGTGCCTGCGCGAAGGGGTAAAAAGCCCGCGGAATGGTGTCGGACGTCCCTGCGCTAAAGGATAAAAAAACCGTGGTACGGGTGTTGGGTGTGCCTGCGCGAAGGGGTAAAAAGCCCGCGGAACGGGTGTCGGACGTCCCTGAGCTAAAGGATAAAAAACCGTGGTACGGGTGTTGGGTGTGCCTGCGCGAAGGGGTAAAAAAAGCCCGCGGAACGGGTGTCGGACGTCCCTGCGCTAAAGGGTAAAAAAAGACTGTTTGCTAAGCCATCAACACTTCCTCTTTGACGTCATGATCTTTAAAAGCCCGTTGTTCAAGGGTCCTAAACGTTTAAGGAATAGTACTATCCGTTCCCTGTGGTTTCTGAAGCTCTCCGATAGCATCCACCTTCTTTTATTTCGTGCAGTCAGGTAGTGTTTGTGCCTTGAGCGCCTCTCGTGACATAAACTCAAGCCTGACTTTAAGTGGAACTCGTACATACTATCAATCGCTAAAGATGCTGGGAAAACGGTCGGTTCGTTATAGCAGTCCGGCAAGTACCAGACTCCCCCTGCTGCTCTCAGCCTTTACAAGAGCCAGATCAGGTCGAAAATGGAGTACTGCTGCCATATATGGGCAACAGCTGCCCGGTCTCCACATTCCACTCTCGATAGCGTCTAAAGGCGTCTCCGCGTCTTTTCCAGCCTACAACCACTTTCTCAGAGACGTGACGAGACGTCACAAGTCTCTGGTGCGCTGTCGTCATTTCTTTGCAGAGGGTTCAGATGAACTACACTCATTGGTTCCTAGTATACCTTACAATCCCGGCTACAACCCACCATGCTACTAACATTGTAGTGTACCATCATCATTACCTTCGTATTTCCTTGGTGAGATGTAAGTTCCATTCGAGCAGAGTCTCTTCACGAAGTACTGCCTTGCGAAACCGACTCCCAATAGGTTGCCTTCACGATCAATTATTCATGAACTACTCAAGTTTTGGGTTAACCGTTATCTTCCACATATTATCCGCATAAGCTTGCCTTTAAATCTGTCACCCTCTAGCTTGAGTGAAACTCGGGCCTTTTACAGACAATAAACAGCATTTTAGTGACCTACATTGCGAAAACCTAATATAGGGAGGGAACACTTGTGTAGGAGAGCAGACATGTTAACACTTTCTTTTGTTTCTTTTTGAACATATTCTCTCTACCTTACTTCTGACATCCGCTGAAAAGAGGTCGGCCTCTTATACACAGCTGTTCCCCCTCCCTATATTAGATATTAGTCCACCTCCTCAATATCTCTCTCTCTAGAAATGCATATCCCTTTCTCTTTCTACACCTTAATCCTTCTCAATTTTTCTCTTCGCATATTTTAGAAGTTTATTTTAAATCGCATCTTATGTTTAAAGATTTCGTTTTTTGCTGTGTCTGGATTAACTCTAAAACCCATTTATTGTTGAAACAGTTTGGTCTAATGAGATGAGACCGAGGAATCTGTCTTGCGAAATAAAATATTACTATGGTATATATATATATATATATATATATATATATATATATATATATATGAAGAAATATGAAGAAATAAAAATAGTCTTAAGATGTGCTATATTTATGGGATACAGTGCTTTTATATATAAAATTTTAATTTTATATATAAAATTTTAATTTTATATATAAAATTTATTTTATATATATATATATATATATATATATATATATATATAACCCGTATCATAGAGTGTACGATCTTACCCGTTTAGGTCCTAGGCCAACAGTTATCTTCCCAGTATATCCCTATAATCTGTGCCTCCTACTTTGTAATGCGCTACCTTGAGTGGCTCTCGGTTATTTCACAGAGTGAAAATAATTGTGAAAAAGAATGTTGAAATGCGAGACATTCTTTTTATCTGTAATTGTACTCCTTTGCTCTTATCGACGATGTTTTCTAAATTCATATCATATTTGTTACATAACGATTTCATTATCGTTGTCGGAGATACATTACTTTCATTGACTGTTCTGTTATATCAACGACATTTTTTCTGTCCTTTGATCTCCGTCTCAATTTATTTCCGGTCCTTATCGCTTAGAAATATCCTGGGTTCAAAGCAGCGTTATTTTTTCTTTTTTTTAAAACTTTGTGTTTATTAATTCCTTTTACTTTTTCTTTATATATATATACATTTTTTTTGTGGGCTATATTCTGTTATCTCTTGTTAAAATATGGCTTTGCCACCCAAGAACTAGGCGAAGATAAACGTTTAAAAAAAAAAGGAAAGTAAGAAAAGAAAAGAAAGAAATGGACCGAACTGGCGTGACTTTTACTATCTGATAATTCTTGGCACTTCTATTCGATGACGTGGCATTATCATTGAAACTTCCCAGACGAAGATTTTTGACGGAATCCCGAAAAAAGACTTTAAACGGAATTACATGAGAAAAAAAAAAATAAAATAAAAAAAATCCATGCTCTTCCACTTAAAACTATAATATTAATAAAAATAAAACAAACAAAAAAATCAAGAATTCGCTAGTTATTTTTTTTTTCAAACAACAGCCATTAAGTTCCCAGATGAAACTTTATTTTTTTCAAAAACAATTGCTTACAGACGTACTTTCGAAAACAAGAATTCTTAAAGAAACATTAAGAGAAAAGTCTATTCCTTAATCGGAGATTGAGACATCACAGCGTTTGCTAAGAGCTGGACACTGAACTACTGTGGAGAATGATTTGCGTGAAAACCATTTCTGATTTAGAACTGTATCATTTAAAATTGCTTCATAGATCAAAGCTGACAATGAGTGTAAGAGCGGTTCATTGGTATTAATATCCGGCCATTAAGCCAATTACGGAAGGGTAGTTTGCTCAGGTGAAACAACATGGAATGGCGCAGTAGAAACCCGTTTTTTAATATATCTGCTGAAAAGATAAGAACAGCAGCGATATGGCTTTATACCTTTCTGAAACGGCATTAGGAAGAAATAAATTTGGCTTACCGATAATTTCTTGCATTTTCGGTATAACACAATAGAGCTAAGAAAAAAAACAAATAACTCTCATTTGTATTTTCCCCATTATGGGTATTATTATATCCGTGATATAATAGCACCATACTGACCAGACGGAATGGTTAAAAGGAAAAGGAATGACAATCATGCTTTTTTCTTAGAGAAACTTTTATATCACTAAGACATACACAAATCTATATATAACTGTATACATGTGCCCCATACAGAGAATAATATATCACATATATCGATACAACAAGCAGTGTGTAAGGGTAAACCAAAAGGAAATGTTTTTCATATAATATGGAGATTCTCCTGTATCTGGAGAAGCCATGTTTAGGATTCCAGTTTCAAACGGGCCGGATTCATCTAGTATTCCCAGGCCAGGTTTCTTTCTATTTATTGAGTAAATCCAGACAGAAAACCCCGTAGGGGAGTTTCGAAGTCGGTTGGGTGTCAACACTGACAACCTTCCGGCAACTACTGCCGGCAGATCGTCCTATAACATAGGGCGCTGTATTCCTTTGGATCTCGTCGGTACGACCGAGACCCAGGGCCATGTAGTCTGGGCAGTGCACGACCTCCATAAATCATTGCCAAAGTCACTCCAGTTTCACCATCAAAGGACTGAATTTTGACCAAATAGGGTACCATCTTTATGTCGCGAGACAAACGGATGCATAACATTTATAGTTAAATAATAATAAGTTAAATTTAATATTTTTTCATTCTTAATTTTTAAATTATTTTTGTTTCATTTCTTTATTGTAATATTTTAAATTATATTTTAAATTATTTTTATATCAATGATATATTTTAAAACTATATTATTTTTATTGTCATATTTGTTTTTGATTTATTATACATTCAATTCTTGTTTGTATTAATTATATATATAAGGTCCTCGGGTTACGTCGGACCCGAGGTACGGCGTTTCGTGGTTACGGCGCTATTTCCCATAAAAGAATACGGCGTTACACGGCGTTATATGAGGAACACGGCGTTGTTTTTTGTTGTTTTTTTTTCACCTGATGTACGCCTTATTAGATTGTGCTTTATTCGCAATCTCCTGTTTTTGTCATTTTGGAGGAAAACTTTTTGTCCCTCATTATGGGCCCCCAAGCATAAGACAGACTCGTTCAAGCTCGTGTAGGTGAATTCCGACCTACGTCGAAAATCAGGTTCCGCCGAGCCGTAGGAACTGATCTTAGACTTATGACGAGGACCCCTTTATTTTTAAATTATTAAGTTTTAAAATTTTTTATTTTCATATTCAGTTTTTTTTTTTGTTGTTTTTGTTTTAATTTTTTATTTGTAATTTAAATTCTTTCGTGAAATGCATCTATTTGAAGCCTTGACACACATAATCGGTGAGTGTTTTCATTCCCAATCAGGGCTCGCCAACACGCTGACCCAGTCGATACTGATCGGATATCAACATGTGTGCCATCAAGCAGCTAAAACTCTTCTCAAATATATCGATTCATGATAAGCTGCCACTCTTCTGCCCCGTACAGTCGAATCTCGAACAGCTTCCGGTTTAGCAGCCTCTCCGATCTTCCATAGGAAGCTCGAACATCTCTGAGATGAGGTATTTACATTATTCGGATTGTTATCCTCATCTTCATTGCCATATTCACAACGTTTCGGCTGTTGTAGGCTCCGGCCTTCTTCAGGTGATTGGAATTTCCAACATCTCTGAGATGAGGTATTATGATTATTTACATTATTCGGATTGTTATCCTCATCTTCATTGTAATGTTCACAACGTTTCGGTCGTTGTACGCTCCAGCCTTCTTCAGGTGATTGGAATTTTGAACATCTCTGAGATGAAGTATTATGATTATTTACATTTTTCGGATTGTTATCCTCATCTTCATTGCCATATTCACAACGTTTCGGCCGTTGTACGCTCCGGCCTTCTTCAGGTGATTGGAATTTCCAACATCTCTGAGATGAGGTATTATGATTATTTACATTATTCGGATTGTTATCCTCATCTTCATTGTAATATTCACAACGTTTCGGCCGTTGTACGCTCCGGCCTTCTTCAGGTGATTGGAATTTCTAACATCTCTGAAATGAGGTATTATGATTATTTACATTATTCGGATTGTTAACCTCATCTTCATTGTAATATTCACAACGTTTCGGCCGTTGTACGCTCCGGCCTTCTTTTTCAGTTGATTGGAATTTCGAACCGAACCCTTTATTTCGTGCACCGGGATAGATTGTTCTAGTTCCCCGTGCCATGCCTCTTCCAGATGCCAGTTATTTCTCTTTAACTCAACTTTCCAAGTTTTGTTTCGCCACTGATGTGGCCGGTTATTGAACTCACAACTCTTTAAAATTAACCAAGAAACAAAATTAGTAATTGTATTTAATTTAAAAAAAAAGAAAAAAAAAGAAAAAGAAAGAAAGAAAAGTTTCATGGTTGAATTTTGAGAAAGTCACAAAATGTCCTCTGAACAGATTATCCTATGACAGAAAGGACAACAATCGCGTCAGCAAGAATTCATCTCTCTCTCTCTTTCTCTTCCTCCTCTCACTCTCACTATCTTTCTCTCTTTCTATTCCCCCCCCTTTCGCTTTCTCTCTCTCCTCTCTCTTTCTTTCCTTTCTTTCTCACCCTCTCTTTCTCCTTCTCTTCATAACGCACTGCCACTCTTCTAGCCCGTATGGTCGAATCTCGAGCAACTTCCGGTTTAGCAGCCTTTCCGATCTTCCACAGGAAGTAAATAGAATGATCGTTTCTTAGGAAATCCGGCGACAGTCTCGATTTGATTTATTATTACACTTAATGAACCCTATTTTTAAATAATGATTTATTTTAAATTCCATTTTTTATAATCATCGTTCAACTTAGGTATTTTTTTTTATTTTAAATTCGTTGTCAATGTTTTTATTTCTTTCATTTATTTTCGTAAACAAGATTTCCAAAGAAAAATCTGTCGCCTGCCAAATAAATAAGTAAAAATATATAAGAGAAATGTTCAAATCAAAACTAATCAAGAAACAAAAGTTGTAATAGGATTTAATTTAAAAAAAAGAGAGAGAGAAAGGTCTCATGTGTGACTTTTGAAAAAAGCCAGAAGACATGTCCTCTGAACACATTATCTGACGACAATTCATTTAATTTCGATAGAAAGAACAACAATCGCGTCTACAAGAATTCATCTCTCCCTTTCTCTCTTCCCCCTTTCTCTCTCTTCCTCACTCTACGTCTTTCTCTCTCTTTCTATCTTCCCTCTCTCACCTCTCTTTCACGCTTTCTTTCTCTACTCTCTCTCCCACTATCACTTTATTTGTCCCCTCTGTCTTTCACGGCCTTTTTTCTCTACCACTCTCTCTTTCTTTCTTCTCCCTCTCTCGTTCTTCCCATCTCTCTCTTTCTCTTTTACCCCTCTCTTTCTCTCTTACAGTTTATTTCTCTCTCTCACTCACCATCTCTTTCTCTCCCCTCTCTCTATTTCTATCTCGCTCTCTCTCCTTCCTCTCACTTTCCCCACTCTCTATCTCTCTCTTTTTCTCTATCCCTGTCTCTTTTTTCTCCCCCTCTCTCTGTTAAATAATAGTTTCAGACTATTACTTTGTAGTGGCAGTGTATTCAGCTCAGACTTTCTGACGCTAACCTTTAAGGTCACATGGTAGACAAAATAGGGATGTTGATTTTGATTGGCTGAGCCGAACGTAGGAATATTACCCTACCCTCTCTCTCTATTTATCCCTTCCTTCTCTCTCTCACTCTCTCTTTCTCTACCGTCTCCCCCACTATCACTTTATTTGTCTGTTTCTCACGGCTTTTTTTTCTTTCCCACTCTCTCTCTCTCTCATTCTCCCCCCTCTCGTTCTTCTCATCTCTCACTTTCTTCCCATCTCTCTCACCGTTTATTTCTCTCTCATACGCACCATTTCTCTCTCTCTCCCTCCCCCTCTCTTTCTTCGCTCTCTTTCTTTCTTTTTTTCTCTCACTCTATATCTTTTTGCTTTTCCTCTGCCTGTTAAATAATAGTTTCAAACTATTATTTTTTTAGTGGCAGTGTATTTGTCTCAGATCTTCTGAGGCTGACCTTTAAGGTCACATGGTAGACAAAATAGGGACGTTGATTTTAATTGGCTGTTTAGATATGGTTATTTTCCTGTCTCGGGGAACTTGCTCCATAGTCGGGATGATAGAAGGACCCCCACTGGCTAGTTAAAAATGTACACCCCGATGTGTTTATTAAAGTAGTAAGTCAAAATCCCTTTTGTTGAAGTTTACATTTTATATCCGAACAAAGCAACTAGCGATCAACTGGGCGAGAAAAGAAAGAAAAGAGATAGAAGAAAGAGAGGAAGACAACATTATTATGATCACCACCGTCAACCGTAAGTCCTCCCCAGAGAAGGGGATATACAAAATCCCTCTTTCTCTCGCTCCCCCTCTATCACTGTCTAGTTTTCGTCATCCGTCTCTCTCTAATTATCACTTCCTTCTCTCACACTCTCTCCCAGTCTCTCTTTTTCTTTCCCCCGTTCTATTTCTCTCCTAGCCTTCTGCCGTGTTCTCTTTAAATATATTGTGACTATTTTGCATCAATTTCATATTTTCTTGAGTTCAAATAAAATTTGAAAATATTTACCTCTGGGATTTTCTGAATTCTACGCTTTCCCACGCCATTTTTGTCCAAAGTTCAGATTTTAATTTCAGATGAAAAATAGGAAAAATCCCAAAAGTCGTTTCCGCGAAAGTTTTGTATTCCAGAATTATTGTCTATAATTAAAGTTTAGATATATGAATGTGTCTGTTTTAACAGACAACAGAAGCACATGGACTATTTTCTTTATTCACTTTCAAATTACTTTAAAAAGGTTTATCTATATTTAATTTTTTTAATCGAGTAATGGATAGCGGCTCGGTTTGAGAAATCGGAGAGCCGAGTTCGAATTACAGTTGAATCCATTACATTCACTTACGTGGTAATAACCTTGGGAAAGGTATGAACCTTCTTCTTCTCCTCCCAGCTATGGGTAAATAGCAGTACAGACTGGGTTCTATAGCCCTAGATGGCAACAGGTTTAGGAAAAGGACGACTCTGAATTCAAAACCGGCCTGCAGAGGTTTGGGCTCCGTCAGGCTATCTTACCCAAGAAACATCACTTCTACAGCGGCTGCAGTACGCATGTTGTCCCTACGACCCTACGGGTGACGGGATAAAAAATATATTATTCTAAATTCTTTACTTTCTTATTTTACATTTTTTACGTAATTATATTACACTTATAATTTGCATGATTAAAAAAATAAATTTTAAAAAAAAAATAAAATTTTAAATAAATGTTCTGAGAATTAATAAAAATCAATACCATATACTTCTGGCGCGAGTTTAAACTGTCAAATTCTTGCTTCCATATTTTCCAAAAAAAATCATAAGCTATAATTTTGAAAAGTGAAAAAAAATCACTGAAAAAACGCGTTTAATAGCAAAAGTGTTCAAATCAAGTAAAAGCAAAATTATTTTTTCGTTAGATTATGCTTTGAACCGTTGAAGCTTAGAAATGATTAAAGATATATTACTGGAATTCTCCAAGTTTTTTTTATAACACTACTGAACTCTACATTGAGCAGTAAGAATGTATAATTACTCTCCAAGCTTAACAGAAGAATCGTGATGAAATCGATCATAAACGAAAATGATATGTTCATCATTAATTAATCATAGCTAAGATCGGAAGCTCATGAAGGACTGAAATAAATATATATATATATATATATATATATATATATATATATATATATATATATGTGCATATATATATATATATATATACATGCGTAGAAATATATATACATATATATATACATGTGCATGATATATATATATATATACATGTGCGTAGATATATATTTCATATATATATATATATACATGTGCATATATGTATGTATGTATGTATGTGAAAAATATATAGAAAAACAGGAAAGAACTCGTTAGGTAAATAATCCAAAGTTCTTTAGTATTTTTGTTATTATTTTTAAAAACTAGTGCTCGATACAAAAGTAGAGCATAAATATAATTATTTATTTAAAAATATTATCAAGTTTATTATTAAGTTTCTAAATAGTAAAAATCTATTAAACAATAGACATGAGTTAACGGTTTTTTTTTTTTGCCGACATCAAATTTTTGCATTGAATAATTAGCATAAAAACAAACAAAAAATAAAATAATTTTTAAAATCCATTGTCCGAGTAAATAGTTTAAATGCCCTACATAAAAAGATAACCTTTTATGAAGTCGTCAAAAAATAAATGTTACGGTAGTTCTTATATACACAAAACCCTTTCAGAAAAAAATAAAATAAAAAAATAAATAAATCTCCATAGACACGTAAACCAGACTAAATACTTATAGAAATCATCTTCCGTTTTAAATTTAGAAAACCCTGACTTGACATCTGTTTAGAATGTAACTTTTATGCTGATACAAATTAATAACACCTAACGCCCCTTCCTATTTAAACAATCGCTCTGGCCGTTACCATAGAAATTGATTTCAATAAGGAATATGCTTATAAAACAGTTCAGAAATAAGTTTTTTTGCAAAAAAAAATTTTCCATGGAACTAATGTCTTTAATTTAATTTTTTATAAAATTAAATTCGTGGGAAGGTTTAATGATCCATTTTTGAAAATAAAAAATAAATAAAATAAAAATGAACTGTGTTTTACGGAAAAACATATTTCAAATTCAATTAATATATATATATATATATATATATATATATACAAACTAAAAGTATTCAATCTATCCATAATATAAGAAACGGAAACAACAAAAAAAACATAAATGTTCTTTACGTTTATTGAAAATAAAAGTAATGCAAGGATTAGCAATGAAAATTTTACCGAATAAAGATTTTAGGGTGTAATTTTTAATTATGGTGTTACTTTACGATTCGGAAAATTTTTGCTGTTACAAACGGTATAATGGATTTATTTTTTATATATATATAAAGTTCGCGTCGTACAAGGCCAGGGAGCCACTCGAGTTAGGGGCTTATGTGAAATTAAGTAAGGCATTTGTGGATATGCGATTGTGCACCTGCAGTCACGTGACAATCAATCAATGTGCTTTTATCTTTTCAGAGCGTCAATGGCGAACTATCAAACTTACGTATGAGCTGAAATGACACGTTGTAAATGTTGCGATAGACGCAAAGTAAAGCGCTGTTGAGACTGCTCTTTAAAAAAAAATAAAAATAGTCGTTTGAGCACAAATTTCAGAAGGAGTTGGAAGCATCTAGCGAGGATGTGTCGCCTGTGGCAAAGCGCAAAAATAAAATAAAAAAAAACAATTACAGAATTTTGAACAGTATCAGGGTACCACAATTCGTACAGCGAACATTAGAGATACAAATCAGTGAGCGTTCATGAGGATCATTTGCTAGAGATCTCCAGGTGTCTGAAGTCTACACTATGGCGTATGAGGATATTCAGTACAAGTCATACTGGACGAGGTGGGGATAGTTCATATTCGGCACACACACAAGAACAAAGGAACAGAAGAAAAAAAACTTGGCATATTCTGTTTTTTTTTTTTTACTGCTTTTTTCGGGTGGGGGTCGAAGAGAAAATTTCAACCAGTATCAAAAATGATTGGAGAAATCATAGATGAGTATGGTTACGTTAATCAGTAAAATATATACAAATCAGACAATCAACTTTTCCAAGAAATAGTTTTTTTTTCTCGAAAAAAGAGGAGTTTTTTTGCTTTTGAAATGAAATTAATCGTTCACTCACCAGTAATTTACAATCGCCTGAGTAGACGCATTGATATGCGTCGCAACACGACTGCAACTGTGTAGCGATTTTTGACATGTTTTTGATTTAATATCCTAAAATAAATAATATTTTCTGCAATGTGGCGCATGAGGGTATTCAGTGAAAGTTATACAGGATGAGGTTAGCTCATGTTCAGCACACACACAAGAACGAAGTTTGTTATGAGCTAAACAGAAAAGAATCACACAAAAAAAAATCACAAAATTTGGACAGTATTGTAGAAGTTGGAGCTGGGGGAGTTTAACTGCAGGGTCCTTCGTGTAGCTGTCTGATGTTAAAGGCTGCTTCTTTGCTAGTTTCAGTATGTCCCATGGTTGTGACACCTAGTTCTTTGAGGATCTCCTGGTCTATCATAGAGAAGCTATCTTTGGTAATGCTTTCTTTCACAAAAGATTCAGCATAGGTCCTGGCAGAGTCAGCTGGAATGCCGATTTTGGTAAGTAGCTCTTGCAAAACATCGGATCCTGTTCGCAGCGCCATGTAGAATATTGGTTGACTTGTAAGTGGTCCGACACACAAGTAGTCTAGCGTAGCCACCAAGATAAACTGACTTGAGTCATTTCATGGAGAGGTATATGTGTGAATAGAGACCACTCATGCAAATGTGTTGGGCAGGTCTATTTTAGCAAAATGATGTTACACAAAAATTCCCTGCTCTCTAAATGGTTCATCATATGGCAATTACTTACAAGTACTTTTTCCAAAAGTTACCACCATTATGCCTTAAAACTGAATTGATGGACAATATGTTGCAGTTTTTTGTGCATATATACTAGGCTATTTATTGTATATAAAAATACAATTGTGGCACAAGGCCGAAAAGGGGAGGGGTAGAGGCTGGTCTTCACTAACTATCTTATACCTAGCTAATCAGATTCACGACCCATTCATACATTACAATTTACTCATTCACCACAAGAACTTGTCCATCACCACTCAATCCTTCATGCACCATAATACAGGATTCTCACAAGGGGGGACCTAAAAACGCGCCCAAACCATAAAAATTGGATGATGATAAATAGTCTATACATAAAAATCTAATAATGATAAAATGAGAGGGAGGGAGATGAACCCCGAAAATAACTAAAAATATACAAAATAAACATAACATATGTTAGTTGTAGGGACCGTCCAACCCTCAAAACAGAGAGGCCGCTGTATTCTGCCCAAAGG